AAATGTGTTTTTGTAAAGTGAAATAATACTGTAAAAGAATGAATAGAATTTTTTTTTGTTTTTAAATTAGTTTACTTACTAATTCTACAACGTCTTTATTAAAAAGAAATCATATTTCTAGAAACCATCAAGGCTATTCCAAATTTCCAATTAATAATACACAATTAAATTACAGTGTAGTAGGCCTACTGTGGTCTGATACAAAAGAGCTCTTAGCAGCCTAATCATCATCACCCCCACCTTACATTGGTATAGCCCATTGTTGGGTGGCTTGCGTCACACAGAGTTTGTTCGTTTATTTCTATTCAATTGGGCTGGGTGTGACTCTTAGAAATAAATGAACGTTATAGTGAAACATCGTGTTATTTATCATTAACGTTCGTTTGATTCACATCGTAATACAGCATGTCTAAAACACCGGTAAATGTAAGATCAAGAATTGTCCGCTACTACCATATGGGGTATAGTTCAGCGAAGATTTTAAGTATTCTTCACGCCGAAGGCTATCGCATTCACAAGTCGACAGTATCCAGAATTTTGAAACGATTTAATGAATCTAAAAGCATTGCGGATCGTGCGCGATCTGGACGTCCCAGCAAAGTTACCAAAGAACACTTGAAAATCATTGACCAAGCTATGAATGAAAATGTCGAAACGACGGCAAGACAACTACAAGATGTTCTTCTGGACAAGACTGGCGTCATGTTGCCTATTTCTACGATCAAGAAAGCAAGACAAAAATTGCGATGGGCTTGTGAGGGGACGCGCTATTGTCAGTTGATTAGTGGGGCAAATAAGGTGGATCGTTTTGATTACGCATTGAATTGCTGTCGCAATAGAGAATCGTTCCGAGATGTTATTTTCACAGGTGAATGTACAGTTGAGTTGAGCCATCACGACAGAGCATCATTCCGGACATTAGGTGAGCCGAAACATCTAACAGCGAAAGCAAAACACCCACTGAAAGTGCATGTTTGGTCGGGGATAACGAGAAAGGGTGCCATGCCCATTGTAATCTACGAGGGGATAATGAGCCCTCAGTTCTACATCAACTCAATTTTAAAGAATGCTCTTATTCCATTTACACGAAGACATTACCCTGATGGTTTTAGATTTATGCAGGATAGCAATCCAAATCACACCGCAACTGCCACCAAACAATTCATGTTGGACAACGACATTTATTGGTGGAAAACCCCTGCCGAGAGCCCAGACTTAAATCCTTTAGAGATGGCTTTTCATCAAATGAAGGACTACGTAAGGAAAGTCTGCAAGCCCCACACCAGAGATCAGCTGATCGAAGGCATTAAGTCGTTTTGGACGCAACAGATGAGTCCAGAATTATGCCGAAACTACATTAAACACCAGTGCATGGTAATTCCGGCCGTTATCAGAAAAAGAGGGGATTCGACTGGATGTTAATATCGCAGTGTTAACCCGGCAATCGTATCAAACCTAACAGCCCTTTTCAGGGCTTCAAAAACTCATAAAA